GTGTAATGTTTTGATTTTTATTAATTGCTCATCTTTATCCACAAATTCTTTACTTGGATGAAATAACGACAGAAAAAGAGTCTTCATCATTTTTTTTCAAGTGAATCAATGATGATGATGATGATGCAATTACATTACATTACATTACATTCTTCATAATATAAATTGTATATAAACACACACACAAACATACTCATACAGTCAGTCATTTTTTTTTCTAGAAGCCAAAACTGTAAATGCATGTGAATGTACGTATTGAGTGAGGTCATTGTCCGATGGCGCCATACAACCAATAACCACACACACACACACACATACATACAAACATTGAATCCACCAACTAACTAACCAACCAACCAGACTATAACTGGGCGCCATTGGATTGTAATGCCATAATTTTTTTTGCTTTCTTTGGTAGGTTGTTGGAAAACGTAACTTTGTTGTTGTTATTCATTCGATGATGAGTGATACGCATGTGTTTAACATGATTATCGTTTAAAAAAAAGAAAAAAGAATCCAATGAAAAAAAGAAACAAAACGAAAAACTACAGCTGTATTTTGTATACAACCACATACACAAAGAATTTTTCTGGTTTATCACCATTATCATTATTATATGGCGTCCATTCATTTTTTTTTTTTTTTTTTGTTATCTGGCTTTCGACAACGAAAAGAAGGATGGTTTGACTTGTTTGCTTCTGAATTTTGATATAGAATAAAATACGATTTGGCGAGGCGACAGAAAACATCATCATCATCACAAGCGATTAGACCTAGCACATAGAGGACATTGACATACATTCAGGCTAGGGTTATGATTTTGTTTTATATTGTTTGCATTTTTGTTGTTGTTGTTGTTGGTATATGTTGGAGGTTATGTGTTGTTTTATATTTACCGAAACTGCTGAAACCCTTCAACCAGAACATTTGGGAGTAAAAAAAATATGTATGTTTAACAAGCAACAAAAAAAAACATGGCGCCCAACTATTATGATGGTGGTAGATAGGTTAGTTTTTTTCTTTGGTATGATGATGGTAGTCATAGGGATGCTTTGAAAAAAAAAAAAATTTTATTCGATGTATAGTGTTGTGTATTATAGAGGTGTGGTATTGATGGTGAATATGTGTTATGATAATGTATATGTGTATAGTGATCATGGCCCTATGATATATCATAGTTGATAGGTCGTTGACTGTATTGTGGCTAGTTGTAGAATTTCTCGGTTCATATACAGATGTATTTTTGGTTTTAACCGTGTTTTTTTTTCATCTGGGCGTAATTTATATGATTATGCGACAAGTTTATATCTGATTTTGGTTTTTTCGCCGTTCTTCAATCCCTCATCATTATATTAATCTGGATCAATTGATCGATCATAATAATGATTACTTATTGTATTTGATTTCACAGTTGGGCAGAATTCCAAAAAAAAAACATAATCTACATATATAAATGCAAGTCACTAACGATTAAACAGAAGAAAATCACGAAAAAAACTGTCTGAAAGTTGTTTGTTTATTTAGATTTTCATATCTTTACACACTGAATATTATTATTATTACTTATTCACGATAAGCAAGATTAACTCTTTGATTCCAAATAGAAACAAAGCCATCAATTACTCTAGAAAAAAAAAATTTCGATCTGTGATTACTGTGTATTGTCTGTATTGTCAATTGTCTATCTAATAGTTTGATTGATGCTAAATTTAGATTCAAATATACCACAATCATGCATCAAAATTTATTGTATACATAAAAAAATTGATTGAATCATTTCAATCACTTTATATTATTGATCGATTCGATTGATGCCATATACTGGAACACCTTTAATCTTGTTTATTTTTTTGTCTTATTTTTCATTGAACAATATTATTCGATAAACTTGTTTTTTTGTTTGCATGCAAAATTCAATGTAATTGATCTAATTTTTATCAATTAATGATATTCATTCATTTTTTCAAAATGAATGAATTATTTTATTGGAAATTCGATATATACAAATAAAATGAATAAAAATTTCTTCATCTTAGAGTTTTCATTTATTTTACTTGATCTCATCACAAATTCAAGGATTTTTTTTTTGTAGACAATATGATATATATAAACAATTTTCTTATGTAAGAAGTGACTAATTTCGAATGAAACTTGATTATTTTTGTATCTTAATACTATATTATTACAATTATAGGGCAAAATATAAATACGTTTGATTTGGCCATGTTTCAAACATCTTCTGTCATTATTTATATGGAATTTATTCACACCATTTATATATATATATATAGCAGAATATTTTTTGTTTATTTACGTTGTAAGTGACTAACAGACTATTTCATAGCTTTGTTTTATAATTTGTTCTACTTTTTTTTCACTGCAATTCCAATCAAATGATCGATCAAAAAAAAACCCGTCAAAATATAATTGTCGTCATTTTCTGTGTTTTATTTATTGACATAACCAAATTTTCTATACTTTATTTACAATTGGTTAATGATGATAATATTATTTCAATTTTTTTTTGCATCCAATCTTTATTTAAGAAAAAAAAATTGTCTAGCCACCATGATTGAAATCGATTTCGAATCCACACGTGTATTAATATGAATTTTTTTTACGATGATCAAAAAAAAAAAATCCAAATTATGAATTGTAAAATGTTTTTCTTTTCAAATATATAAATATGGTACCACAGTATCATAGAAATAATATTGTTCCATTCAATCGATTTCGAGCCATATTCATTCATTCATTCATTCATAAATTAGGCTCAATATAAACTTGATGATGATGATGATGATGATGAACCACCTTCACTTTAACTTTTTTTTAAAAGTACCGATACATTCATTCTCTCATCATCATCGCTATTATCATCATCGAAAAAAAAGTCGAAATCATTTTCCAAATACTACAAAGAATGATTCATTTCCGTGTTCTCTTTCATTCATTCATTTTTTGACTTTCATAATATATCGTTTCAAATTATTCGATGCCGGTGGTGGTGGTGGAGATGATTAAGATGATGTGGAGAGTCAAATAGTAATAATAACAACAACAACAACAACAAAATTGAAGAAAGTGAAAATTGTTGTTTGAAAACTTTTTCAGGTGTCCGAAATGAATGAAAAAGCAAGCCATCAATCGAAATTGTCATCATCCCATTTTGTTATGGTGCCTATGTGAGATTTATTTTTAGAAATTAAAAAAAAAAACAAACCCGATCATACATATATACTTGGAGAGAAAAAGAGAAAGATGGATAGATAGTTTCATTGAGAAACAAGAGTCAGCCAGTTTGAACAACAACAACAACAAAAAGTTGTCCGAATAACGGTGATTGTTGTTGGATGGAGAAAAGAAAAAATGCTTTCGCTTTCACTCATTGAATGAATGACTGAATGAATGAAATGATTAAATCAAAATAAAAGCCTAAAAGTGAAATTGTATGTGTACGTAGTGCGTGGTGCGATATTTTCGGATGTCGATAATGATGATGATGATGATGATGATGATGATGGTGGTGGTTGCTTTTTAAGTTACCAATATACAACTAACCAGACAACAGAAGAACGAAAAAAATTCAACCTGTTGTTTCTTGTTTTTTCTTTTTTCTCGTTTATTCGGGGATCGTTGATGACTTGTTTTCGGTCTCTTTCATTTGTTGTTGTAGCTCGTGTATTTTTTTTTCTTCCTTGCATTTTGAAGCTCGTGTTTGTAGTTCGAAACCGTTTTCTCTTCATAATGTTAGCCAATTTTTTTCTTCTTACAACAACCATGATGATATTGATGATGATGATGATGATGATGATGATGGAAACCAGGTGTACCCGAAAATATCATGAATGAATGGAACTCTTTTTTTCATCATAGATTCTCTTATTGTCTTTATTATGGGACTTATATGGGCTTGATTGAATCAAAATGGAACAAGCGGACGTCATCGTCGTTAGAGTCTTTGTGTTCCATTTCGATTCAATCGTTTTGGATCGACACACACACTTGCACGCACACACGCAAACAAATAAACAAATACACAGACAGAGACAGACGACGGGCTGTCTTGAGCTAAATTCAAAAATAGTTACTGGAACACCGTCTTTGATCTTTTTCTTTTTTCTTTTCTAAAATAACATACCTGTTGTTGGAGTATTTTTTTCTGGCAGGACTGTGAATCCTGTTCCGATCTGACAAGGAGGCGAAATCATTCCATGATAATGATGATGATGATGATGATGGAACCACACCACATTATATCATTCATGCACGCAAACACGCGTTTTGCTTAACAAGCGAACCGAATAATACAATCCAACAACGGGTCAATTAACTTGGATACGAATTTAATAACCACATCCAAAGCTATGAAATAAATGGGTTGTTGAATTGAATTTATATTCGAATTTTTTTTTCTAATGATTATAAAGTAGTTGAAGTAATTGCAAAAAAAATAGACTGAATAGAATCGATCAAAAATCAATCAATCAATCTTTGAAAAAAAAAAATCTTTTGAATCGATGGATTTCTCTAACTTTTGGACAAAAAACTAATTGTTTGTCCTTATTTATTTGCACTTTTATGAAGAAAGTTTTAACAGTGGTTCGTGCATTAATTTCAGAAATCATTTTTTTTTTTTGACTGACCATGGTATTAATGATGTGAATTTTATTTTGATCATTTCCGTTTTGTACATTACTTTTATATGAATTGTTTCTAATTTTTTTATTTTCATTTATTTATTTGTGCAGATTCTCCTGGTGACTAAAATGAATGCCTGAATTTGTTGAAGAAGAAATTCCAAACAAATTCTTTTCAAGTGATCGTTTCAATTTAATGGGAAAAAAATGTGGTCGATAAAAAAGAAAAGCATACTAATTCTGAATCCACATTACAATCGATTGTATCGAATATTGAAGATTCATTTGATAATTTTATCATTTTCTTAATAAAATATCGTTGGGTTTTTAAACAAAAAAATAAGAAAATAAAACCTCAATTCCATTCCCTTCTTTTTTTTTTCATATTCAATTTGACATTATTCAAATGTTATCCACACAAGGTGTTGATCTGATTGTTAAAACAACAACAGCGACGACGATATCAGCGACAGCAGCATCCGATCATCGTCATCAAAGGCCATTGTATAATATTAGTAATAGCAATAATCATCCACATGAACATTCATATAGTCATAAATTTAATAGGACTGATAATCAATTGTCATCATATCATCAAATACCGGAAAATTTTGAAACTTATTCCGATTTGAATCATACGGCGACTGACGAACAATTTCAACAGGAAGATTTATTGATCGAACAAGAAGAATCTTTATTCATACCGTGTACAGACACATTAGAATTTGACGATTTAGAAAAAACAATGAGCAATAGTACTCAGGTGTCGGCACCACCCGTTCAATTCCTCCAGTCGAACACGTTTGGTGGATTAGTCATGTCCGGGCCTGGTAGTAATGTTGTTGGTCAGGTCAATGAAGCGATAATGGATCATCATCATCATGGTTTATCGCATCATCATCAACTTTGGGGTCATTCAGTAAGATTTTTTTGGTTGTTGTTAGATATGAATTTTATTTTAATAAATTTTTAATTATAATAGGATTTTGCTAATGGAGTTAGTTCGACGACAGCAAATAACAATGGTGGTGGTGCAACAAATTCCACTGCCCAAACAATGATGATCGATGAAAATAATGGTGCAATTACGATTATATCAAATGGTCATCACCACCATCACAACACACCAGAGCTACATGAATTAACGCCAACGGATTTATCCAAATATCTCGACGATGATGATCTAATGGGCCCAAGCTCAAATCTATCGGATACAGTCATGAATGGTGTACATGGCTCTTCTGCAATGAACAATGCATTTGTTTGTGATCTTGATTCATTATTGGATGATCTCCACGCTGATTCCACCCATCTTTTGTTGACTAACCCAGAAAAGTTGCTTTCACAGCACAATGATGGAACCACCTCCACGACCAACAATAACAATGCATCATCAAATACGAATTCCTCTTCCTCATCATCGCCTCCAAGTCAACAACTTCAACATTTAAATCTAAATCTAAATAACAACAGTAATAATGACCAAATTGAAATTCTATCCACAACAAGAGCAACGAACAATAATCAAACCATTCTACTTTCTACATTGTTATCTTCAGCATCATCATCAAATTCATCATCCACATCGACATCATCACCAACACCAACATCAAATGGCAATGATGACGATAATACAACTACCATAATTACCAATATTGATTTAGACATACCAAATTCATATAAAACAAATGAAAATCCCTGTTCATCTACGAACAACACTGCAAATAGTAATAATTCAATGGTCGAAACCAATAATTCCATAGTGATCGTATCATCGCCAACATCTACATCTGCACAGCCACAATTTGGGTCCCAACAGCAACAACAACAACAATCATCAAAATCAAATCTTGCCACAACATCAGTGTCAGCAACAACAACCACGACTACCATGTCGAGAACTATTAATTCCAATTATTCGTTACCATTGGCTCGTAAAAGCCAAACAGTCAATGAAAAACCACAACATCGTCGAATCTCAATCGAAACCCGTGAGCATCTAGGCAAACCAATATTTTCATCATCATCTCGATCATCTAATCGCCAATCATCTCAACAACGGCAAGTGACAAAACAACAATCTCAACCATTACCCGATTCAACAACGCCGACACCTTGTTCATCTAATACAACGAACAAATTGACTGACGGTGGTTCCATTTTACAAAACGCCCTATTACAACCTCGTTCAACATCATCTTCGACAACATCATCTATATCCTCACAAAATTCAAATTCAACCACATCGAATAAAAGTAATAATAATTCCATAAGTGAACATTTTTATAATTTAATGCAAAGACAACAACAACAACAACGCCAACAGCAGCAGCAACAACAACAACAACAACAACAGCTTATATCATCAAAAAATAATTCATGTAAGTGATATTTTTCATTGTGAAAAAGAAATTTTCGATAGATAAATATAGCTATGTTGATGATGATTTGAAATAAACACGTTTTCTGATGGACATATTGTTCTAATTATTTATGGCCAATGGTCACATTGATGCATTATGTATACAATTATTTATCTCACAAGGATTTACAATCTATTTTGTCGTTTTTAATCAGTTTTATTATGATAATTAATTCGTTTCATAGTAACGTGGTAAATTTCAAATTTATTTAATTTTCCTTTCCATCGTTACAAAAAAGAAAAACAATGGAAAAAATGACACTAAACAAGATTATTTTATGTTTTTTTTTCTAATTGATAATGCCTTTTTCTCTTCAATCGATTCGAACACCGAAAGCTAATAAAATCCAATGAATAAATAAAATATCTAAAAATAGCATAATTGGGCGTTTCTATATATCTTTAAACATTTTTCATTTGATCATCGCAAAATCATATAGAAAACTGTTTGTAAATTTTCACATTGTTTGATGCGATTTGAATTTGAATCAATCAGATCCTATCCAATTATTATTATTTTTTTATCTTTTACATTTAAATCTAATCTGAATCTGATGATTTTTAAAGGAGTGGCTTGTTGAAGTAGAATTTTTATCATTTTTTTCTGTTCCATTGGATTTTATCATCCATATTTAAAGAAACCCTTTTTTACATAATTTATTTTTTTATTTGGTGCACCTTTCTTCAGTCGAATTCCCGAGATTTCACTTTCAGTTTTATTTGATTACATGATTTGATAAGCTAACAACAACAACAACATAATCAGTACGTTTTAGCTACGGTTATCGCTGATTTTCGTTGTTGCTATTTTTATCAAAAGACCATGAAGAGTCTACTCGTGGCTCGTTTGAAGAATACAGAAATTATTAGGAAGAAATAAATTTCACTTTCAACCATAACGTTTTCTCTTTTTCTTTTCCAATTGGATTTGAAAATTTGGAACGAATTACCGCCATGACATGATCGACTGTTTTTTTTGGTAATATCTTGGACCAGCCCAACAAGTTTCTCTCTATATTCAATTTTTAATTGTAATTTTTCAAAAAAAAAAACATGTCAATAAAGGCCATCTAGCGAACATTTGTTGATCTCTTTTGTTTATTATATTGCTCAAAAGATGGCGTCAAAAAATGTTATTTATTTTTATACAATTCATCATTGATAGATGGCAGTTTTATGTTCTTTTTTATTTATTTTGATTTTTGTCTATCCCTCATTTCGATTGGTGTCGATCTTTATTGATTTCTTGAATTGAATTTTTGATCAAATCAATCATGTGTGTTTATTTTTTTTTTTTTGTTTTGTTTTATTCAATTCATTGAGTTATATCATTCGATGTTAATCTTATGATAGATTTTTGTCTTCATTAATTTATGCCCTGTATGCATATGGAAAATTTTTCTGCTGATTTGTTCTTCTTCTTTTTTTTTTTCTTTTTTTTGTTTTCATTTCAAGATAAGAATCTCTTTTTTTCTCGCCTGATGAATGAACGAATGAATACAAAAATAAATCAATGTATATCGATATGTGTTTGTTATATATTAAAGAAAATTGCACTCTCTTTTTTTTTCTTTCCCTCTCTGATATGGAAAATCTTTTTCCCTTTATAATAATTTTATTATATTCCATATCGTTCAAAGTAAATGTCAAGGTCTCTTGGATTTTTTTTTCGTTCTTCTTCGCCATACTGATATTGGGAAAATCTTTTTTTTTTTTTTTTGTTATCAATTATAACCAAAAGGTTTAATATGTTATAACCATTTCGATATATAAATATATAAATAATAATCAACAATGATAATTTTGTGATTTACCCATCATTCCCTCTTGAAAATATATCGATCATTATCGATACACATCAATCGATGATTGAATTGATATAATAATTGTGGATATTTTTGAGAAATATTTTTTTTTCTCCACATACATATACATTTCTGTCTCGATTTTTATTTGCATTTTCTTCATCATCAAAATCAAAATAAGACTTATCACATTTTGTCGTTAATTTTGTTCTTGTTTCTAATCTTATTAGAGTTTTTCCCTTTATGAAAAACGAAAACAACAACAACAAAAAAATTGGAAAGAAATCAATATATATATTTGGTCAGACTTAACTGGAAACAATTATTATTTTTTTTTGTAATTTAAGATATGTTTCAAATGAATTTAATCATTTTTGTTTTCTAATTGATGGTACTCTGAATGAACGGATGCAACTTTTTTAAACGTCCTTCAACTTGAACGCAAATGACATTGGTAATAATAATGGCAATGATGTATCCATTGATGATGATGTGGACACGTATTTTCTTTCTCTTTCTTTAGTTTTTTTAGTCATCAAAATAAATAAATTTTTCTCACTAAATATACTAAATAAGACCTTGAGACACTTGTATTCACATGTATGTGATTTTTTTTGTTGTTGTTGTTGTTGAACATAATAAAGAGTTTAAAAGAATTACTACTATTTGATTTGATATTTTTATATCATTTTCATTGACATTTTTATGGAACTTATTCATTTCTCCTTGTGATTTGTAATTTAAATGTCAATAAATTGTAACGATGATGATGTCGCCATAGTAAGCCAATTTTGAATCATCTCGTATATTTCACGTGAATCTAACAATTAACAATCATAGAAAAAAAAAAAAAATGATATAAATATCACAACATCCAAATGAAAGAATTGAAATTTCCCAAGAAAAACAGAACAGAATTGATGACACAATTTTCTTGGAAACATCATTATATGTAAATGATTATGCAGATGGATTATTGTTTTTTTTACAGAAAGATCAAAAACCTTTCAATCTCTTAAATCTTTGATTTTTGTTTCTCTATTTGTTTTGGTGAGATGTTTTGAATCCCATTGGAAACTATTTCTCAATTAGTCAAAATATTACTGTTAGTTTTTATCTGAAAAAAAGTTTCAACTTGTGCCATGAACACCATTATATAAAGAAAGATAAGAAAAAAATAAGATTTCTCACCTATTTACATGTTTAAATGTTAATCGATGCTTTTTTTTGCTTAAAAAGTGATAAAAAAAAGTTTATTATTATCGAAAACACAGATAATATAATTCATACTTTGGTGCAAGTTACAAGTTTGATCCAAGAAACATAGCAACAACAACACAAACACACACACACACACAACTTATGCATTGTCATACATTGTCATTCATACAAGGACAAGGGCAAGGTCTAACTTAATTTTCCACATTTTCATAGTTTTGTAGCCGATTTTGGCTGTAAGAAAAAAAAACAAAACTAAAATAAGATAAAAAAAATAATAATAATAAGGATAAAGTCAAGGTAGGACGTTTTTTTGTTTTCTTTTTTCAGTATTTTCGTGTGGTTGTCCAATTCAAAGCATTTTATATTTTCTTTTAGTTTGTTATTCGGCAAACGTTGTTATCAATGAAGAGGTTTTCACTTTTGCTATAGTTTGCCTTTTTTTTTGTTTTGTATAAATATTTTGTGAGGGAATGGTGTCTACATTTGTGTGTGTGTGTGTGTGTAAAGTCACCCCTTTTTGTATTATAATGATGATGATGGTAGAGTGATGATTGATTCATTTCCCTTGACCCTGATCTCTTCCTTTCTCTATGATTGTTAATTTTTGATTTTACTACCAAACATCACGTAGTTATTTTTTTTTTTTTTTTTTTTTGATTGTCGTCTGACAATCGTCTCACATCCTGGCGGTTGAATTAATCAATAATAAAGGTTATTCATCTATTTTTGGCCATATTCACATGCCTGGTGTCAATGTTGATTATATTTTACGTAATTGTTGTTGTTGTTGTTAACAAAAGGAAGGGTTTTTTGAGGATTTCTGTCTCCTGTTTTTTTTACAATCGATTGTTTCTAATATAATGTCGGATCGATAAACGTTTTTGTATTTGAATAGCAAAGAGAAATCATTCTGAAAGGATTTTGAAATTTCCTTTTCAAAGTTTATGAACGTTTGATGTTTCACCTACACTGTCATTGTGAATGAAATTAAAATGCAAGCCAAAAAAAACCTTTTTAGATTTAGTTTTTATTTTGTCTATTAGTTATCTGGGTATTTCTGGAATAACTTGTATGTGCCAGATTTTGACAAGCAAAAAAAAAAAAATAAAAATAAAACAATAACGCTGTTTTGCAATACATTCAGAAAGGAAAAAACTCTTTTTCTAGTGTTTTTCTTTACTTTGATTCCTTTGTTTTCCAATCATTTATATGCAATTCATTAATAAATCGTGTGCATAAAATCAAAATTATCATTTGTGAAAAAAATGTATGATGATTATTGAAGATATGGTGAGCAATTTGTTTATCAAAAAAAAAAAAATAAGAGAAAGAGTGAGAGAGAAAACGTATGAATCGAAAAGAATGGAATTTATGTTTGCCACTTTGTTTGATGAATTTTTTTGTTGTTGTTTGTTGTTGTTGTTGTTTTTATTCGTCGTCGTTGTTTGAAAAATGAACAAAATGTGAATGTCTTATTCCAAGGACACACTTGAATTTCATAAGAAACGGCTTATTATGTGCAGATGCACATATTCACATACAAGTTGTTGATGATGAACATTTCCATTTTAACTGAATGAAGAATCCATTTCTCTTCATTTTTTTCTGGCTTTCTTTATTTTTTATTTTTTTATTTATTTCATACACAAAACAAATTCTTTTTCGTTTGATTTGATCATGGTTGTAAATATATATATATATATTTTTTTGCATGAATTTTTGTTTCTCCTCATTTATACAATTTTATGACAGAATGCTAAAATTGTTTTGAACCATCTTTTTTTCATCCATTCCTTAATTTTGGTAAACAGATATTCTTACCAAAAAAAAAAAAAAAAAAACTACAAATTCAAATGTTGTTGCAACAATTAAATATTTTGAACCCGAAAAAAAGAAGGTCACTCTAGCACTAGCAGATGGCGTATGTTTGTTTTTTTTTTTTTTTTGGTAAATGAATTAAACCAAAAAAAAAAAAAAAAATATTTGGCCATTAGCATCATTGTTGATTTGATTTGATTGCAACATTTATTTTTTTTTTTTTTCATTGCCAAGATTCTATCATGATGATATGATTACAATTTATCCATAATGTTTTTTTATATTATATAGAATGATATGATATACAAAGAGGAAAAATCCTTACACTATTGTTGTTGTTGTTGAATATGAAATAGTGAGAAAAAAACATATTTTTTTTCTACGAATAAAATTATTACATGTACAATGTGCATGTACATGTTGTGCATATGTTATTGAACTTGAACAAAAACGACTATATCATCATCATCATCATATATAATCGTTTTAATCATCATTATTATCATTAAATTCAATTTCATTTATTCATTGTTTCATCAAAATTTGATGTGTGACTTTTACTTTTTACTCCATTTTTATATTATATAGTAATAAGTATAGTAGTGTGTAGCCAACTTTTTAGGTGAGCCATAAAATTTTTGTTTTTTTAGAAAAAATTCTTATTCTTATTATTATTGATCTACAAAAGCATCAAGTAAATTATTTTCCATTTTACATTTCAAGTGGGGTATTGATAAACGAC